TCTGACATTAATAAAAATCTATGAGATTTCTTATTATTATTATTTTCATGGTATACCTTTTTACTTTCACCCTATTTTTTGTATTTCTTTTTGAAATGCATTTCTTATAAACTCAACCATACCAGCACCCTGATCTCGGACTTCTAGCCTACCCAATGGCATTTTTGGAGATCTCATTCTTAGATTTCACGTCGTGGCTTAAAATTAAATATATGGAGATAATTGTCCTCTCATCGTTAATTATGCATGTTATCATAGTGACATGCTGATTTTTATCACTTTACTCACTATCTTGATCTCTTTCACACCTTTAACTTAGCAAGATAATTTTGAGGATGTTTTTGCCTTAGAGTTTCACCAGAATTTTCAACTTACCATCATTACTGTTTCTATTTTTTTTTTCTCAAATGAATCATGTATCATTGCAAGTAAACAGCTTCTATTCTAAATTGTCAGGAAGGTGCTGACAAATTCACATCTTATTGGCAGTCTTGCACAATGCACGAATAGATTACATCAGTTTGTCATTGCTCTGAAGTTTCTTTTATCTATTCAGAGGGACAGATGCAAATTTTCCTCCCTCTGGTTGCATTGCTTGACACCTGATAAGCAATCTTTTTGCAGAAATCTCAGTAATAGAATATAATACAGCTCTATCAATTTATAGGTATCTTAGTTGTTTTGTAGCACAATCTTGAATTCTCCCCAAAAAAGGATCAGTTTATACTAATCAACTTATATCCCACAATTTCCTGCCTTTTTGCATAGACAATAGGTTTATGTCATAATGCCAAAGTATAGCTCTCTCTATATGTATATGTATACACATGTATATCTACATATGTAGATATGTATATATTAAGATACATCAGATGGCAGTTAAAGTTTAAAGAAATGGTACAAACAATGCCCATAACTCAACTGATGCTAGATTTAGAGATTGAGAAGTATTACAACTGAGTTTGCACACATGTAGGCAATGACAACTGTCATAATTACTGCAGAACTGAGTGTGATAGTAAGAGGCATCAATTGTAAGATGCAGTTTGATGGCCTAGCTGACATGGCTCAGTGGTTGAGCACTGACCTGTGAACCAGGAGGTCACAGTTCAATTCCTGGTCCGGCGGGTTGCAGGCTCGATCACCAGTGTGGGGCGTGCAGGAGGCAGCCAATCAATGATTTTCTCTCATCATTGATGTTTCTATCTTTATTTCCCTCTCCCTTACTCTCTGAAATCAATAAAAGAAACTATAATAATAAAAGGGTAATATGCTAATTAGACCAGATGTCCTTCCTGACGAAGCCGGGGCAGAGGGAAGCCAGTCCGGGTGCCGGATATATATACATTAAAGATGCAGTTTGACTTCAAGAATGTTAAAATGTGAAAAGGTGTGTCTTACAGTCAATGATACACTTTATCGTCCATCACTAGGGTGAAAGGAAAGGCTTTTGGAAGGAGGCTTACACACAAGTCAGTGGGCCGTCGTGGAGAGGTAATGAGTTCTAAGATTCTAAAACTGATCTTTCCCCTCTGAAGAAGAAATCTGGGAGGTGAGAAAAGAAAAGAATCTGGAATGAAAGGAGTGATTCAGAGAACTGTTAATTCTTGTTTATCCGGGCTCTTGCAGACAGCTGTTTTTGCACACTAGGGGGCTCTAAAACACAACACGTCAAGTGAAAATATTGATCGCCTGCTTTTTTCTTTTTAAATGTCATTTTCTCAACGAATATTTATTGAGCATAAATTTGTAAGCTTATACTGTCCTTTGTGAGGAATGTAAAAATTACTATGATCTGTACTCAGCCTATAAAAGATTTATGATTTGGTGCAGGAGATAAAGCATGTATAAAAATTAAAATAAAGGGGGGCATAAAACAAGTATTGGGAAACTAGAACAAAGAATTCTAAAAATGCCAGAGTAGTGAATCTTTTCCCAGATCAGTGCAAATTTTCTTTGACTTGGGGAAGAAAAATCAAACATTTCCCTAATGGAAGTGGCCAGGCCCTATATTTCAGGGCATCCTCCTGACTGGGGTTTATGGGAGGGGTAAGAGCAGAAGCAGCCGCCTCTTACAAGTGCCCTGGAGGGTGGCCGGGACACATGCTTATTCCACACCACAGCCCTGCTGGCTTTTCTCTCGTTTCCCTCTCCTTTCTTCCCCTTTCTTCACAGAGGTCCCTTCTCTCTGTGTCTTTTTTCTGGGGGTGTTCCAGACCATAATGATCTGGCAGGGATTCTTACGTGTAGTCTTAGTCTTGCCGCTGGCATTCTGGACTAAAGAACTTGCCCACCCCAGTTCCAAGGTAAATTCTGGGACACGTTTTTCTGCCCAGGAAATCACGGTGGCCATCGACACCCCTCACTAAAATTACTGTGTGTGCATTTTCCAATGATGCCAAAATAACAATAGAATGTTCATAGCCTTCTGAATTAAGGAGGCAAATTGGCAGAGCAGGGAAAGAAACAGGGCTACAGAAATCCTGACCTCTTCCCTTTACCATCACAAATACAGATTTTTTGCCCACTTTCCGCCCAGGCTTATATGCTGGTCTTTCTGAGCCCCTAGCCCATCCACAGTTACAGTTTTGGGGACATTTCAGTCTTTCCCAATCATCCAAGGACTCTACTCAGTTCCAGGATCCCAAGGCAAAAAAAATTCTCTGCTTTCTCATTTTGACTTTCCTTCTTAACACATTTCGTACCGCTCAGGAGTTTTCTCGTGTTTCGCGCGCCATCTGTTAAGGACCGCTCACGAGTGTTCTCGTTTTTCACGCCCATGGAAAAAGGAGCGAATCTAGATACTTATGTAAATTTTGTTTGGTCCCTCTTCATAGAGGAAAATGTTTTACACAGTACCATACGTTAAAAAAGTACTAGGAACTTTAATTGTTTAATTGTTTAATTGTTTTTGTAAATAAAATGTTATAATTATTGAAAAACAACACCTAAAGTGCATTATGATGATTTAAATAACGTGCAGTTTGCCCAAAAACGTGCGGTCCCTGCCGTATGTCTTAGAGATTTCTATGCGGTACGCAATGTGTTAGTAGAGAAACAGCAATGTGAAGATTCCTTATTTATTTATTTATTTATTTATTTATTTATTTTAAATTATTAGTTTAAAAGAATCACCAAACTTAAAAGTTATAAAAATTGTACTCCCAAATAACCTTTACTCAGAGCCAAACATAATTGATGTTTTGCAATGTTTGCTTCATCTCTCTAATCATCATTATTATTATTGATGAAACATTTATTTGAAAGTTGCAGCACCGTAATCCTTTACTCCCAAGCACTTCAATGCATATTTCTAACAAGGATATTTTCCTGCATAACCATAGTATAAAAATAATTTCAGAAATTTAATGTTGATATAATATTATCTAATGTAAGCTCATATTCAAATTCTATCAATTGCCCCATTAATGTTATTTTTAATTTTTCTATTAGAGTTGATATTCTATATTATTTTATATTAATTTCAGGTGTACAGCATAGTGGTTAGGCAATTATATAAATTTACAAAGTGCCATTAATATTCTTTATAGCTATTTTTTTTATCCTGTCCTGGTCTCCAATCTAGAATCACATATTGCATTTAATTGTCACATCTCTTTAGTCTCTTTCATTCTGGAACAATTTCTCCATAACACTGACATTTTTTAAAGAGTTGAGGTCAATTGAATGTCTCTAAATTCGGTTTTATCTTCTATCTCCACATGATTAGATTCAGTTAATGCATTTTTTGGCAGGAATGCTACATATTTATTATGAGAACGTTATATCAAGAGGCATAAGATTCCCCTCCTTAGAAACGGAACCACCTTTTTATTCCCCAAGCAATATGAGTACCTTAGCCTCACCAACAGAGTGTGTTGTCAAGGTTTTTAATTTGCTGCCAATGTGATAGGTGAAAAATTGCATCTTAATATTGTGTTTTTTAAATTACCTTATTGAAGTAGAACTCAAAAGCAATAACATGAATCCATTTTAAGTGCACAGTGTGATGAGTTTTGACAAACCAGGTAAGACATAGACTATTTACATCGCTTTAAAAAGTTTCTTCTTCCCCTTTTCTGTAAATCCCTCCAAATCCTGGCCCAGGCAACCACTGAAATGCTTTCTAACACTATAGACTAGGTTTGTGTACTCTAGCACTTCATATAAATGGAATCATATGGTATGTACATATTTGTATCTAGAAAGAGAGGATACCAGCGGTATCCATAGGGTAGACTAAACAAAGAAAATTAGATGTATTAGTTTTGGGGGTTTTTTAAAAATATATTTTTATTGATTTCAGAGAAGGAGGAAGAGGGAGAGAGAGATAGAAACATCAATTATCAATGATGAAAGAGAACCACTGATTGCTGCCTTCCCTGACTGGAAATCGAACCGTAACCTCCTGGTTCATAGGTCGGTGCTCAACCACTGAGCCACGCTGGCTGGGCAGATGTATTAGTTTTAATATAGTCCTATTTGTATGCACAAGCTAGATGGCCTTTATATACATAGATTATAAATAAAACTGAATTCCTCTAATTATAAATAAAATACACTCTCCGTTCTAAATTTTCTTATTGTTCTTACTATGCCAATCTACTAAGCCCTCAAAAATGGCAAAATTTAAAAAAGAGAATAAAAAAGTCAGAATTGTAGTATCTATAGGAATCTCATTTTTATGAATTTTAACCTTAGTATCAAATAACTTTTCATAAAATTTATGTAATAAGGACTCTGTATCTTCCAAAGAATTTCCTCTCCATTTTAGCAAAAACTTCCCGTACCGTCTTAACTTTTTCCTCTGCCATGTGTCTTTTCCAACGCTCATGAGAAAACAATGAAACTTGACAGCGTTGATTCTTCAGTTAGCACTGACTTCATTAGGTGCTAGTGCTGCCTTTAGCAATCTTTCACAGTGGGTGTGAGCATGGTGTACAAACTGAGCGATGCAATAAAGCAGGATCTGCTTGACTGAAACATCTAATACTCTCTCCCAACTCAGTCCCAACACTACTTCATATTCCTAGCTGAGTTTTTTCGTAGCTATGAATCAATATGTGTGTGAGATTCGAAAGAAGAAAGGCAATTAATTTTCATTACCAAAGAGAAACACCCACAGTCCGGGTATAAAATAGTTTCCAAAACTGAATCTCATTTGCCTAAAGTATATCTCTGAATCAAGAGCAAAATGAGGAAAGAAAGCCCTGATATTTAAAGTCTGTAATGTTTTGGTTGAGTCTGCCTTTTGACATGGTACTTTTTTTTTTGGTTGGTAGAAATGACACACTGAAGGGCATGAGGCAGAAGATGGAAGTGGCAGGCACGGAGGGTGGAGAAAATAGTGCATATCCAGCCACTGAGAGGACAAACATAAAAATAAAAAACTTTTGCAAGAAAGACGCCAAGATAATTGCATGGTATTTCCAATAGTTTTGCATTATGAAGACTACTAAGCAATTTTATAACTAAAAAGACGTCTAACAACTTATAAAGATAAGTAATTCATTAGATAATTTCAGTAACAATATTCAAGACCCACCTTATATTAAACACACACACACATTAAATAGCAAAGAGTATTACCTGGATCCCTGATCAGGTTCTGGAATTGAAATATTTTCCTCAATAATTTTAACAGCTTCATTGCAGTGTAATTGGGATGCAATAAACTGCCTGGATTTGAAGTATACCGTCATCATATGTACACACCTGTGAAATCATCACCACTGTCAACATAGTGAGCATATCATCACACCCAGGAGATTCCTTGGGCCACTTTGTATTTCTCCTTCCTGCTTCTCGGGGCCTCCTTCCCAGCCCTAGGAAACCACTCATCTGTCATTACAGACAAGCTTACACTTTTTAGCACTTTCTATAAATAAAATCACACAATGTGTACTCTTTGTTTTCTGGCTTTTTTTAAAATCAGCTAAACTATTTTGAGATTCATCCATGTAGTTGAATGTATCAATTGTTCATTCCTTCTTTTTTTCGTGAACATTATTCTATCAGATAAATATGACCTAAACTATTTATCTATTTACCTGATGGTGGACTTTTTTTCCCTCCAGTTTCTTCTATCACAAATGAACCTGCTCTGGGCTTTCATGGACCAGCCTTTGTGTGAATGTGTGTTTTCATTTCTCACACCAAAGAGTGGGATGGCTGGATCATGTAGCAGGGATATGTTTCACATTTAAGATATACTTAACATTGCCAGAACCGGTTTGGCTCAGTGGATAGAGCGTCGGCCTGCGGACTCAAGGGTCCCAGGTTCGATTCCGGTCGGGGGCATGTGCCTTGGTTGCGGGCACATCCCCAGTGTGCATGGAGGAGGCGGCTGATTGGTGTTTCTCTTTCATCGATGTTTCTAACTCTCTATCCCTCTCCCTTCCTCTCTGTAGAAAATCAATAAAACATATTAAAAAAAAAAGATATACTTAACATTATTACTTTTTTACTTTCCTTCTTGTGGTTATGAGAGTTCTAATTCCTTTACATTCTCACTGAAACTGGGCCTGGACACTCTTTAATTTTAGCTGTTTAGATTTAGTCATTTAATAAGAAATATGTGGTAGTATCATTAGGATAAACTATCCTTGCCCAATGTCCAATGTCTTGAATATCATTGCTCCTTATATCTTCATATACACGGGGTGTCCCAAAAATATATATACACACTTTAACAGCTGATAGCTCAATTTTGAAAATGAAATGTATTTTAATAAACACTGCCTTTATAATAATTCAAAGTGTGTGTATACTACATTTTGGGGAGACACCCTAATTTTTTATTGGTTTGTTTTGTTTTTTAGTTGTTTCAAATTGGAAAGTAAGCCAGCTCCCCATTACTTCATCTTTGCCAAAAACCTCCCTCAACATATAGCAAAGGCAAGCAAACACTCCATGAGAGAAAAATAAAACAATGAGGTAAACAAATTAAAAAACAATTTTCACTCACTAACACTGCATTTTAATCATGGCTATATATATCTGTGTTCAGCTGAGAATTTGCTCTCCTGGTGAGAACAATAACAGTATCAGAGCTCTCTTTGCAAATTCCTCAATATCTGTACTTTTTGGCCCGAGGCGATATTCTTTTCACTTGCTTCTATAATACATGCTTTTACTCTCAATGAGGACCAATGAAACCTTCCCTTGACCATTCAAACTAAAGTAGCCTCCCTGTTGTTCTATTTTGTATCACCATGGTTTTGCTTTTGCTATTTTATGTATCATTACTAGATATTTTCTTGTTGATTTTTAAAAAAATTATCTGTCTCCCTGAACTATGAAATCATGTCCCTTTCTGTCTTAGTCAGAGTCTAATTTCCTGTAGCCAGAAGAATGTTTGGCCCATGGTAAGTGTTAAATAAAGTATGTTAAAAGAGTATTTTCTGGTTCTGTTCCTTGGAGCCACTGTTCCTTCATAAGAAAGTGTTCTAAAAGAAAAATAAATTTATAAAAATATTAGTATCACAACATTGCTGCATGTTCACTTATATCTACTGTGGACCAAAAAAGTGGGGGGGCGTTCTACTGAAAGTAACCTCATACATACATTTCTAACAGGGTGTCGGGGTAGCCATGCACCAGGCATATAACTTTTTAGGGAGAAGTTTTAAGCAAGCCCTGTCCCTTGTTCTGGTGCATCTGAGTTACAACGCCTTTGAAATGCCAGCAGTAACCCTTCTGCAAGGCATAACCACCCTCAGGAGAGCACATCCTCTTGTTAAGTATTCTGTAATCCAACCCCCATCCCTGCCTTGCTTTCTCTCACTTTCATGTAATCTTTTTAAAATTCCCTCCTAATTCCAAGTACATAAGTCAAAGAAAAAATTGCAAATTGTGGTCCTGGAAGCATTTGAAATCTTGCTTCCCAATAATTGACGTCAGTTTTGGCTCAAATAAACTCTTACGAAAATTCTCTACAGGTTTAGACATTTCTTACGTTGACACTGCACTCTTTATGACTTTATTGCTTGCATTACCTATGAACCTTACCTGATATTGCCTTCTTATCTGATTTTTTTTTCTGCTAGTTGCTATTCTTATTTTTTCACATTTCCTGTTCTGGAATCTGTTTTATCCTGGCACTTAAAGTTACCATAAAAAAAAAAAACTACAGGGGAAAAAATACCTTCTTTCTTTGAGTTTATTATTTTTATAAACAATACTGCACATCATGTTGGGATATTTTTCTTTACACCCCACATCCTGATGCCAAATTTCAAACATTATTTCGTCACAGTCCTATATATGAAAATGCCTTTCCATTTCCTTGGCTTCCTACTCAGTTCAAGCTAAGCTTTTTGAAAGGTCCTTTAACTGGACTTCAAATGAGAACAGCTGAGCCCAATAGCATTATTAAACCAGGAGATAACATACATTACTGTCTTAAGACACTAATGTTAGGAGTAGTTTGTAATTCAGCAAATTCATCCTCTCCCTCCAAAAACCTACTCTCTCTCTCTGTCTCTCTCTGTCTCTCTCTGTCTCTCTCGTCCTTGACTGCAATCGAACCTTAGGCCCTTCAATCCCCAGGCCAACACTCTATCCACTGAGCCAAACCAATCTGCACTCTTCTCCTCTCTTTTTTTTTTAGGGCATAAGGCAGAGGGTTTTCAAGCCGTATCAAAAGGAAGGAAAAACAACTCTACTTGGACACAGAGCAGTCCAGGTAAGACCCAAGAGGCTTGAAATAGTGTACAAGTTCGGGAATTATGATGTTTTCCAAGGATGGAAGTATTGGTTTTGGGTGAAGATCCAAATTATTGTGATAGGGCCAAGTTCACTCTTATACCTTTTTTTTCTGGTAGATTCAACTAAGACCACTTGTTGAGGTTAAAGCACTCACATTTGCCTCTTGTTGATCACTGAGAGAGAAAGAATTCTAGAGGGCCCCTGTAGTTAAATTGTGAAATCCCTACATGAGGAGAGAGAAAAGGAGAATATGTCATTTTTTTCCATGTCTCTAATATTCAGAAATATTCCCCTGAGAAAATTGGGGAGAAGAGACAGGGAATAAAGTTATGTGTGTCTAGCTCCTGATAAGCCTTCTCAAACTCTGAAAGAATAACAGGATAACTCCCTGTGGACTGGTCAGCCTCAATCTTGAAGAATGTCTTGGCTTAATAGTCCTTTTCCAGAGAGCAGGTTGCCTAACTTAGTGAAGAAGTTGCACCATGTGTATGTTTTCCATCCCATTCCTCTGACCTCATCCTCTTAGAATCTGTACCAAAAGGAGGGATAAAGAACTCTACTTCTCTACTTGGACACAGAGCAGTCCAAGTAAGACCCCAGAGGCTTAAAATAGTGTACAAGTTGGGGAATTATGATGTGTTCCAACCATAAAATGAAAGAAAGGATAGAAGGAGATGAGGCTGGAGAAAGGGGTCCCGGGCTGTCCTCACGTGGAAGTCATTACAAAGTCTCTCTTTCCCACACTCCCTCTTCACTCTTTCTCCCTTTCACCAGGTTCACCTATTTGCTTTAAAATAACCCCTCAATTGAAAATTGAAAACAGTTCAGGCCTTAGTCAGGATTTTCACCTTTATCCTGAGAACAATAGGAAACCATTTGGCAGACTTAATTAAATGAGTGGTCAGAGCAGGTTTTCTTTTAAGTTTATTCTCGTTGCTGCATTGAGAATGGTCTGAGAAGGAATGGACAAGAAAGATTTGGACAGAGCTGTCAGGTGGTGATAGGTAAGAGAGATCATGGTGAACTGAAGGGGTGGTAGCAATAAGATAGAAGGAGTATTGGACAGGTGTGGAAAGTATTTCTAAGGTAGAATTGATAGGTCTTGCTGATGGGTTGAATGATCTTTTACCCTCTCTGCATCCACCCCCTTGGGCATTTAACTTTGAAGTGTCCTCTGCCTCTGTCTCTGGACTTGACCATGTGCCTGGCTTTGGGTAATAGAATGAAGCAGAATTGCAAGTGTGGTGCTTCTAAGTCTACAACTTGAGAGGCCTTGCTCTTTCTTGTGTTTCTGTCATCTCCATGAGGACATTCCTGAGGTAGCCTACTGGCATGGAACAGATACGTGGCAGAGACTTGAAGTGCCCAGTCAGCCCAGTTGAGACTCGTCTAGATCAGTGGTCGGCAAACTCATTAGTCAACAGAGCCAAATATCAACAGTACAACGATTGAAATTTTTTTTGAGAGCCAAATTTTTTAAACTTAAACTATATAGGTAGGTACATTGTTATTAACTTAACTAGGGCACTCCTAAGGCTTAGGAAGAGCCACACTCAAGGGGCCAAAAAGCCGCATGTGGCTCACGAGCCGCAGTTTGCCGACCATGGACTAGGTGAACACACCTTTGACACACCCTAACCACCCTCAAGAGAGTATATAATCTTAACTATCCTGTAATACTTTTTCCTACCTCCATGTTAACTTCCTAGTTCTCTCCTTAATTTCAAATGCATAAAAGAAGCTGCAAAGATCACGGACTAGGTGAACACATCTTTGACACACCCTAACCACCCTTAAGAGAGTATATAATCTTAACTACTTTTTCCTACCTCCATGTTATCTTCCTGGTTCCCTCCTTAATTTCAAATGCATAAAAGAAGCTGCAAAACTGTTATTCTCCAGAGCATTTGAGATCTTGCTCTTCAACTTGTGTCATCAGTTTGCATCAAGTAAGCTCATAAAATACAGGTTTGGACATTTTTATGTTGACACAGGTAAGAAGGACTTTGAGACTGGACGTGAGCAGAAGCTTGACAGGCCAAGAGGAAACTTTGCAAACTCTTTTGTTTTTATACTCATTTTTAAAATATGTTTTTATTGATGAGAGAGAGAGAGAGAGAGAGAGAGAGAGACATTGATGTGAGAGAGAAACATCGACTGGCTGCCTCCCGTACTCACCCTGACCAGGGATTAAACCTGCCATCTCGGTATGTGCCCTAACCTGAAATCTAACTGGAAACCTTCTGGTGCACAGGATGGTGCCCAATCAAATGAGCCGCACTGACCAGGGGGGAACTTTTCAAACTCTTGATGGTCATTGAGAAAGTGACTATTGGAGGCCGGATGAAAGAGGGTGTGAGTTATGAATGGCAGAACAATTAGCAACACCAACCCTTGAGTAAGTATGGAAAATGGAAAGAGTACTAAACAAACATGTGGCTTTGCTAAGGAGATTTTCAGGCAGAATGTTGAAAATGATAACTGACCTCTCCTAGTGCCCATGAACAAAAAGAGAAGAAGAAAGAGTTTGATGAAGAAGGAACCGTCGAACAAAGGATACACTTGGAAGGAAGACCTCAGCAGACTGAGATAAATGTTTCTGAGAATAGCAGTTTCTTTTGTGCATTTGACATTAAGGCGGTAAAGTAAGGATGTTCACACAAACGTGGAAGGAAGTAACAGGATACTGAAGATTATGTGCTCTCTTGGGGTGATTATGCTTATTTCAAAGGTGTGTTTGTATAGATGCACAAAGACAATGGACAGGGTTTGCTTAAGACAAAGATAAATCTTTTACTAAAACATTATATGTCTGGGGCATGACTACCCACCATGACTTGCCTAGTTAGGGATTTATGATCAGATCATCCTGTGAGGTGACTTCCCATAAAACCTCCTTTTTTTCATCCACAATATGTAATCATTCTAAATTTCATTTCTGCCACTGTTAGGTATGTCTTTCTTATTCAGTTATTACATGGTAGACCTCTACTTTTTTGTGCTCAGTTAAAATGCTGATCATTTCTTTGTTGGTATACTTTTTTTTTAATGGTTAGACAGCAAACAAAAAAAGATTCAACTGTGGTTCACTGAAGTAACTGGGCACGTTATTGCCCTATCTACTTGAATCCAGAAGATTATATTAGTGACAAAAACTAAGAATGACTCAGATAAGTTATTTAATCCATCAAAAACTTCCTGTGTGCATCATAGCTGTGTATGTCTCTTTTTTGGCTTGGGTTTCCTGATTCTCATGTTGTCTTTTGTTCTTGTAAGGTTTATGTTAGTCACAGATTTGTCTGCCAATTCCTAGAAGAATTTATTTTTGCCTCATTCTATTTCCTCCTCTCTTCCCGAAATGCAATATTAGCTACTTCCTCTAGTGTTTATATTAACAAGAAGTTCAATTTTCCCAGTCATTTCCACAGTGATATAATCCATTATAGCCACTAAAAGTCTTTCCTTATTTAGGCCAAGGGATTGAATTAACTTTAGTTCCTTAAATGACTACATTTTAATAGCTTGAAAACTGTGTATGTAAATTATTCTGAGTGACAAGTGCAGGAAATATTTGGTCATATGCGTTATCAGTGAAGTTCAGATAACATCATTTTCACAGTAAACTTTGGCCCGGTTATGGTTTAAAAATTACACTTGTGAAAATTGCAAAAGGTATATATATATATAGTTCTCCAATTGGAATACCAGCTCAATAATTCTAAGGTTACATTGCTACTGAGCTAGGATAAAAATCAGCGCCCATACTTGCTCTGTGCTTTGTGTAGAGTTAGTGTTTAGTAAGTAATTTTTGCTTGATTTGATGAAAGATGTCATCCCAGAACCAGCCAGGAGTTCTTCATAAATTCAAGGAGACCCTCTTTTCTACTTTGTCTTCAGAAGAACTTCTGAATTCCCTGGATTCTTTCCATGCAAGAGAAGATGATGTATTTCTGGTGTCCTATCCAAAATCTGGTAAAGTTTATTTTAATGTATTTTGTAAATGTAGGAATACAATAATAATTATAAATATAATAATGATTTTTACAAATCATTTGTTTTTCAGAATTTTCCACAGGAAATTAAATTGTCCTAAACCCATAGTCTAATGAAAAAGTTTGACAGTAGAGAGACAAAAAAAAAAGTGCTTTGAAAAAATTCAACTGGAGAAATTAGAGCTTTACTACACTCTTGTTTCTATTTTATTCATGAAGACATACAAATGTTGACATATATAATAAGCATGATATCTGTAATATTATAAAATTATCTTTTACTAGTACTTTGTACCAGGCATGGTGATAAATAGTGTTTGCTCCATTTATAGCTAATAATTGATTTATAAATAAATATTATTTTTCTAGGTTAATAAGAACCATAAATACTTTTATTATTAAAGTTTATGCCATATCATTTAAATTAATAATATATTACTTTTTATTCTTAAAAGTGACTAGGATATATAATATCCAGCTGCCTGTTGCTATGTCCAGAATAGTGGCTGTGTGTGGCTGAGCACATACCTGCTCTCCTGGATTTAGCAACTAAGAGCCAAGCTCCCTTTGAGCTGTGTGTTTACTAAATCCTTCACTGGACTGTAAGTCAGGCCCAAGAAACCCTTCCTTTGGATAATGCAGAGCTCACACAGGGGTGTTTTTGAGAATAAATATAAACCATATATTTATATATCTTTTATTGGAAAATCTTGCTGCAAATGGAAATTAAATGATTGCCTTCAAAATACTTCAGTATTCTCCTTTTACAATAGGTTGCTCTGTGAATAATTACATCTTGTCTTAAAATAATATATTAGTTTAGAAAGTAATTAGTGATACGTTTAAGATTCTTGGAACAGGTGGTTAATTTATAGTATACATAAACAACCACATATAAGGCTTCCACTGTACATACTGGTGCCCACAAATTGACATCTTCCCACCGGCTGCTAGGAGGTCTCCTTCAGCAGCACAAAACTGTGTGCTCTCTCTTCTTCATTAGAAGGAATCAATATAGTTTGTTAAAATAATACAATTGTCACTACTATATGAGTCACATACATGAATGCTATATGTTTAAATGTAAAACAAATACCCCTCCCAATGTGGCTCAGTGGTTGAGTGTCAGCCTATGAACCAGGAGGTCATGGTTTGATTCTCGGTTAAGGCACATGCCCAGGTTGCAGGCTTGATCCCCATTTTCGGGGGAGGGAGCATGTAGGAAGCAGCCAGTCAGTGATTCTCTCTCATCATCGTTGTTTCTATTTCTCTCTCCCTCTTCCATCCTCTCTGAAAGCAATAAAAATATATTGAAAAAATAAATTTAAAATATATAATGCAAATGAAAGTTCTATTTAATCTATGAATATTTACTTGTCTGTAAGATTTTAATGAGATAAATGGAAACTAAGGCAGATTTAAATTCTTCAGGGACATTGCTTTCAAATTAGCAAAAATCCTCCCCACCCAAACTTCTCCTTCCCTGTTTCCACATATGGTGTCTACCCAAGCATGTCAAACTCGCAGCCGGCCCTGAGTTTGACATGTTTGGTCTACACCATTGGAACACATCTACATTTGCTTTATGTAAACACTACAGGCCCGATGCATGAAATTCGTGCAAGGGGCTCGGCCCTCGTGGCCTCGGCTGCCCCTTGGCCCTGCCCACTGGTCATTCCAGAAGGTTGTTCTGCCATCCGGTCTAATTAGCATATTAGCTCTTTATTATATAGGATAAAGTGGTATTCCTTCCAGACTTTGAGGTAGCAGGCTTGCATCTCTATGGTTTTTGAATATGCCATTTGTTCATTGTTCTAATGCTTTGTTTGCACAATTATTTTGTATTTATACACAAACAAAAATAAGACCCACTGTCTATCTTCAAGGAGGAAATGGGAAGATAGACATAAATACAAGCAATGGCGAGTATACTCTGGGGTCTGTTACTTTGGAGGGACTTGAAGGGTGAGCAATTATTCCAGGGGAGTGGGGACTCAGAAGACAGTTTATAAAAGAGCAAGATGCATGTGCTTACAGGACTAATGAGAATTATGTGTAGAAAGATCTTTGTATTTGTGAATTAGAGGAGGTGTTAGAGGTGAGTGGTAGCATAAAAGAGTATTTCAAGCTGAGGAAATAGTATACACAGTTCTCATATTGCTTCATGTTTCAAAATGTGATTTTTCCTATCTAATGAATTAACATCTTAAGTATTTCAACAGGTTTCAATGGGTGTCAAGAGGTAAAACTAACTATTATAATAAAATTAATGCATTCATTGCCTTTATAACCTAATGCTAATTTTCTAAATTCATTTCACCAAGAGGGGCATTTAATTAAAAATGAATTTTATTTTATTTTTATGTGAAGGCACTCACTGGATTGCAAAAGTCATTGAGAATATTCCCAATGCTGAAATTACTCTAACATCTCCAATTGAATTGGGAGACATTTCTAAATTTGAAGAGCTAAAAATGTGTTGTAAGAGAAGAGTCATTCCAACACATTTGAGCTATAACATGCTACCAGTGGATATTAAACAAAAGCAATGCAAGGTAAGTTCAATGGTGAAGGGCGGGAGGTTGGGATACCACAAAACTGAGCTTGGATTCTTGCTCTGCCACTTTCAAGATGTGTGACCTTGGGAAATTGCTGATGCTCTCTGAACCTTAGTTTCCTCATTTGATACAGGAATAATGTACCAATCTCATACAGTGTGGGAAAAATTAAACAAGACAATGCATGTATAGGTCTGACCACAGTATCTAGTTTATATAAATTATTTTAATAATCTGTCGGTAATGAAAGAAATGTGAACTATAGTTACACTAGACAATGTCTTACTCCATCCTAAATTTGGTTTTAATGTTTTTGCTTTAAATAGTGATGTCTAGGAAAAGAAAAATTGCCTTAATGTTATTTTAATTACTTTACCATTTGTGCAAGGGATTATTATAGGAAGGGAATAAAAAAATTTTATATAAAATTACTTGTATGCATGCATATAAGCATAACCAATGGACACACGACACTGGGGGGGATTAGGAGGCTAGGGGAAGGTCAAGGAGAGAAAAAAAAGGAGACATATATAATACTCTTTGTAATACTTTAAGCAATAAAACAATTTTAAAAAAAGAATAGTTACCTCAAGTTATTTTAAAAATAAAGTTACCACGTTGTTATTATTTTAAAAGTTAATTATAACTTAAAATAATATTTATATTTTCATATATTTCATATTCAAATTTATGTTTCCATGGAGAAATGCTTATGGAATAAGATTAAGTATAAAGCATGTTTTAAATACATGTATACTGAATAATCTCAATTTACTTAAAATATACATATACACATAAAAAAAGATCTAGATGTAAATATAACAACATGCCAAGTGGTTTTCTATGATATGACATTAGAGTTGGATTTTATTTTCTTTACAAATGTCTACATAAGGAGCATTTTAAAAATTCTGTTTTGATCAGAAAAATAAATTTGAAAAGCAAAGGCAAGATATATGTGTTTATTGTAACAAGGTCCCAGTACTGAAGCCTCTTTAGACAATGTCAGCCATATTCCAAAAATAACAAAAATTACCTAGCAGTCAAATGAGCACAAACCAAAGCAGCTCTTCCTATGATTATAGCTCTATGACCACAATGTGATTGTGCACACCATCTATTCTTCTGCCCAAAGAAAAGTAAATGTGATAGTTTTGTCTGTATCCCCAGCAAATCTATCAGAAGAGGTGAAGGTGTATCTAACTTGATTACACTTTCACTCAACCGAGCATTTTCATTTCAGACCGTCTCTAAGACAGAGAGAGAGAGAGAGATCTGGGGGGATAAAGAGTCTGGTGAGCCCCAACCGGTTTGGCTCAGTGGATAGAGCGTCGGCCTACAGACTGAAGGGTCCCGGGTTCGATTCCGGTCAAGGGCATGTACCTTGGTTGTGGGCACATCCCCAGTAGGGGGTGTGCAGGAGGCAGCTGATCAATGTTTCTAACTATCCCTCTCCCTTCCTCCCTGTAAAAGATCAATAAAATATACTTTTTAAAAAAAGAGTCTGATGAGCTCAATAACCCTTACTCAGGGCAATGCAATAACACTGACACCAAATGCCTACTAGAGATCGAGCTGTGTTTTGTAAACACATTACAAAAGTGAGAGGAGTAGGTATTTTACTTTTCATAAGCGAAGAAACTGAAGCTCAAAAAGGTAGGGTGCTTCTTTAAACAACCACACTAAAGGTACAGCCTTTGGGTTCAACCCTTTTCTTTTGACACCTACTGGGGACTGAGACTCTGGTTGCCTCTGGTCTCCCAGGAGAATGAGCTGCCTCTGTTGCTGATGGCCTAAGGGACCAGCCGGACAACCTTCACCTGGTTGATGAGCTGGCAGCATCCCCTGCTGGTTCATATGCACATTAAGGGTCGAGAAACACTGGCTTGAGTCTGTGTTTAATAATTAGCTGAGGCTGCCAAAAAATCGTGCCTGTCATGGGTCAGTTTAGCTTCTACTTTCTATATATATTTTTATGTAAACATTTTTTCAAATACAGTTTACTTTTAATATTATTTTGTATTAGTTTCAGATGCACAGCATAGTAGTTAGACAATCATATACTTTACAAAGCGTTCCCCCTGATATTTCCAGTACTGGCTCTTACTTTCTTTTAGGAAATGTTTTGTGGTGGGGCTATTTTCACCCAAAAATAAATTTATATTTTTTAACAGATTATCTACATCGTTAGGAATCCAAAAGACACAGCTGTTTCTCTATTCCATTACTACAGAGATAACCCTAATCTCCCTGGCGTGGAAACCTGGGCTGCGTTTTTAGAGCTGTTCCTGAAAGGAAATGGTAAATATAACAATGGTTTTTTACTCATAATATACAGTGAGCTTTTCTGCTCAGAATGAAAGCATTTTCTAAAAGTTTAAATGGATGCCCATGTCTACTTTCAGAAGTACTCTTTGAATAGATGATTTGTTTGCTTCCAAGCAATTCTTTCTCATTGTGCTTCTTCACAGTCTTTCTTATCACCCATGGATAGTACATATTAGCAATTTCTTATTAGCCTTAATCCTGGTCAAGAATCTCTCTCTTTTTTTAAAAAAAATATATATAATTGGTCATTTCAGTGAAATAATATGCACTAATAGGAGTACAGTGAGATACAGCTGAGACCTAGACAGGTAGCCCAAAACATGCCTTATATATACCTGCATGGATAATAAAGCAACACCAACAATGCACCCCCGAAAAGAACCCTCAAATTCCCCAAATAAAACAAATGTGAAAGAATTAGCCATCCTGGCATTTGGTTTTATGAAAACTAACAGGAAGTAATTTGTCCTGAAAATACCACAATGATACGTCATTTGATTGAGCTGCGTAGCATATGTTGGTCCTGCTAACTTTTGGTCCTGTATGACCTTTGAATTTACTCATTTTTTCCTGTGAATAAATTCAGTGGTGTCTGGAGCATTTAAAAAAGAAGCAAAAAAAAACCAAACCTTCTAAATTCCCAGGGTATATTCAACAAAAATAATATACCAAGACTATACAGAATTTAAAAGAGACATGATTCAGAAATGGAAGATTTTCTCTCCTACTGGGCTTAGTGTAGATCTTAATTGTTAGTTTCACTATTTTACATGGTAATTGTTGTGCTCTTGCTTGTTCATTTAAAAGAGGCCACAGCAAGTGTAACCTTAACATAAGGACATTGGGAAGTCACCAGCAACAAATATATACATATATTCCCTTGGGAAGAATATACTAGTCTCATACTACTTCAACTCTGTTTCCTCATTTAATGGCACGCATCTATTAGAATCATAAAGCTTCAGGGATGACAGATACACTAAAGGTCATCTGTTTAAAACACCCTCCCAATGTTTAATTCCCTTTACAACATCTCCAAGAATTGTAGAGCCTAAGCTTGAACCACTTAACCTTGACAACAGGTTCACACTCCACATTCCTACTCCAAAGGAACGTTTCCCTCTTGGTGCTTCGAAAATGTTGGGGGGGAAATTTTTACCATGTGATACAGACACTTAGCTAAGTGCTATGCAAACATGATCTCTTTTCATCCTCACTAGACCACATGAGGTAAGTGTTATTATCCTCATTTTATAGGTGAGGAAAATGCAGACCTCGGGAGGCCAAATAATATGCCCAGGGATGTGTAACTAATAAGGAGTAGGGCCAAGATTTAAATTCAGATGTCAGCTCCAAAATCTTTGCTCTTACCACTGTGCCATAACTCATCCAGCCAAAAAATTGTGCCCCAATCATTAATTCCTCTTCCACATGCTAGTCTTCTAAATATTTGAAGATAGTTAACATGCCTCACTCTGCCTCTTTTCCATTTTTGGAATAAGCAGAGTTTAAATACGTAAATTAGTTTTTTAAAACAGATCTTGAGCCTGCTTTTTCTCAAGAAGAAAAGAAGTTGTGTTTGTCTCCCATTATTATACACTGTGGCTCACTCTTCCTCCCTCACCACTGCGTGAGCTCTGATTTGGCCTTCTCTGTAATTTTTCAGTGCCTCAGGGTATGGTCTAACTGATTCTGTTGGAGAGATTATTTTTCTGTAAATGTAGGCACAGAGCACTGGCCAGTGTGCTAAGTGGTTAGAGCATCGGCCCATGCACCGAAGGGTCTTGGGCTCAATTCTGGGTCGAGGGCACATACCTGGGTTGCAGGTTCGATCCCTGGCCCCAGTTGGGGTGCATACAGGAGGCAACCGATCAATATGTCTCTTTCACATGGATGTTTCTCTCTCTGTGTCTCTCCCCCTCCCTTCCACTCTCTCTAAAAGTGAATGGAAAATATCCTCAAGTGAGAATTAACAAACAAAAAGATAAAGATAGTGACGCATTTATCTAATCATCTAATTGTCTTTCACACACTTTAAAAATACACTTTAGGTTTTCAAATGAAACAATAAGTATAAATTGTATCCTGGAGATATCCTGGCAGATTAATATTTCAATGAGACATGTGTTAGCATTTGCTCTTTATCCCCTGGAGCCCCCTCTCCCGTTTTATATTAGAACTCCATGTTTCCTAGGCCACTTCATCCCAGTGAGTTTTGTTTTCTGCGCAATTATCTATCATCAGAATGCTTTGTAGAAACTAAACATTAAGGTGGCCATTATAACTGGATGTAAGAGGGTTTGCAGAAATTTATGGGAGTTTTGAAACAGCGGAAGAATAGGAGAATGTGTTAATGCAGGACAAATCGGTTTGCCAGGCAGCCTTGGGGCCCTTGAGACTGGAAAATGAATCTGCAGTGGTGTCAGTACAGAATGGTATGAATTTCTCCAGCAGAACTTAGCTGTCGTAGGTGAGATGGAAAGGAGGTGAAGTGTTTTGATCCAATACTGAGTGTTTCTTGGATGATTAAAATAAACTATAGGGGGCAAGGAAATGCAGATATTGATGAGAACATCATTGAGGGGATGTACAAAGGGAAGCAAGTAAAGGGAGAAAGGGAGAAAAATAGTCAAAGGAGAGTACCTCAGCAAGTATCTAATAAAGTTGCTACAGTTGGTAGTAAGACCTGAGATGCCACAGATTATCTTCTAAAATCCGAGTCTTCAGTGAATGTAATGGAGAGATCAGGTCAATTTCCGGCTGAAACCAGGATGGAAAGGGTGCTAGATTCAAAGGACATGTTAAAGGAGCCTGGATTGTCTAGGAGGGAGGAGTTCTGGAGGTCCTTAGAAAACAGAGACTGCTGACTCGCTCTCCAGGTCCTAAGATACATGAATTGTTTGAGAAAGAGCAACTTGTATTCAAGGCCATTGAAGGGGAAGGAGTAATTTGTGGATAGCAGAAGGAAGGCCATCCAGGCATATGTTAATTAGGGCCAGGAGGTGGTGGAATAATTTTGTAATTAAGTGAAGGATAAGGAGAAAAGTATTTCCCATAAAAGCAAGATGTCAAATCTCAATTTTGGAAACTATATTTTCTTTAAAGCTATTGACCTGGTCAATGGGGGTTCTGATCTAAAAATCAACACAAACTGTAATTTCCTCCATTTGTGAGAAAGGCCCAGGCAGACAATTTCTTTAGATTCTTTTGGCTAGTTTGCGTCCTTTTGGAATAAGGGAGAGTCTAAATTAATTAGTTAATAATAGAACAGCTGGCTCTCAAATTATGATCAGGCTAGGATCCAAAGGTTTCTTCTTCAATCTATTTTGGATATGTTGGAATACATTTTCTACTGAGTAACCATAATGGGCAGGTCAATCACACTGCACCCCTCATCCCCACCTTGCCCAGCCCACCCAGTGTGACTCCTAGTCTCTATCCTTGCCTAACATGGGCTCCCCCAGACCCTATTGAGGGCTCCACATTATCAACTCCAGGCGGGGATATTACCCACAAGGGCTGGGCTGTGGCTGCTGGTGGAAGTCAGAGAGGTCAGTTAAGACTGTGAGGTCGTCTGGCAAACTAGAGGACTAGTTAACTTCCTAAATTTGTGTGAGAGAAAAATCAGTTTCCCTCCTACATGTGTTTGTGCTTGGAAAAATGTTGGTAATTCTTAGAAGATAAACCCTTATGACTGGTATAGTAATTTGGGTAATTCTAAGACAAAGTATTAGGTAAAGCACTGAAATTGCAGTGAGATTGCCGATAACCAAAAACTGTATCTGGACAGCTCTCCTAAGAACCAGTTCTGATTATACAGCCCTAGGCTCCTGACTCTAACGATAGCACTGTAGTCCCTTGTTTCAAAAATCTGTTCTGGTTATTTTCTTGCCCTTTGCTTCCTCGGGAGCCGAAGCCATGAAAAATTGCCCTTAGTTTGGAGTTAATTTTACTTTTATTTATTCAAAGCTTTAATGTTCAAACTGTACTAGTATATAGCACAGTGTCTGGCTTAATAAATGTTTTTTATTAAAATGAATCAATAGTCAGCAGATCTTCAGGAAATCACTAGTAGAGTAGTTCTTTTATGACTGTGGCACTAGTTAGTATCAAATCTTTGCATGATAAAGATTCCTGGAAAGATGTATATTAAATTATTGTTTTATGCTTTAGATTGTCAAGCTAGTCATTTTTATTTTATTTTGTGTGTGTGTGTGTGTGTGTGCTGACAAGTTGCTCACTGTTTGCTTTTAATCATCACAACTATAGAGGTTACTTTGCATGATAGTATTTTACTTTGAAGCCCTGGACATTTTTAAGTCTGTCAAATTAACAAAACATTAAAGAGACAATATCAACTACTTACAAATCCCTGAGTCTGTAATTCTCAACCTTGAACTAAGATACCTGATAGAATTATTTTTTGGGTAGTGGTGTGTGTGGGGGGGGGGGGAGTTTATAACTTTTTCTGCTAAGCACTTAAAATTATGAAAAGCATGTCACATTACAGAAAGAAAATGACAAATTCTCAATGTTTCTCTTTGTCTCCCATGATCTAGAGCAGTTATCAGAACACAATTATTAGGAAAATGTGTATCTGTATTTCTACTGTCACTTTTCCTGATGATAAAAAAGTTATTAAAAATAAGGAAAAATCCTACACAGCTTTATTAAAAGGTGTCACTACCCTGCTTCATTTCACAATATTGTATTTAGTTGAAACAGTAGTGAGACTGAGCCCTTCTAAGGAAAACTTTTTCATTCCGGTGTCTAAGATGCACGTGCCTTGCTTTGACAACTTTGCAGAAGGGACCCAAAGCCATAATGTTTAATATTAACACAGCAATTCACTTTTCTTCTAGTTGTGTATGGATCCTGGTTTGATCACATTTTAAGTATGTGCCTTGCTTTGACAACTTTGCAGAAGTGGGAAGACCCCAGGGACCCAAAGCCATAATGTTTGGTATTAACTCAGCAATTCACTTTTCTCCTAGTTGTGTATGGATCCTGGTTTGATCACATTTTAAGCTGGGAAGACCACAAAAATGATAAAAACATTCTATTTATATTCTATGAAGAAATGAAGAAAGTAAGTCTTTCCTAACATGTCAACAATCAAAATTTAAGTCAAATTCAGCTAATACAGGATATCAATCAATGAATTCTGTTTTCAGGTTTGAGGGAATGAATTTAGTGTTTTGATGAGTGGCACTTATTTATATATTTGCTTATTGTTCAGGATCTTTCTAAAAGCATAAAGAAAATAACGACTTTCCTCGGTATAAATGTGAGTGAAAGCGAAATCAATCACATTGCTTGGAAATCATCGTTCAAGGAAATGAAAAATAATGCAGCCAAAGAAAACTGTGATCCACATAAGACCATCTGTGCCCTCACATCGAATAAGAACCTGGTATTTAGGAAAGGTAAGTCAGAAAGGGCGGTGGTGCTTTGCCTGTGGCTTCTGTTTGGAAGTTGTTCTATTTTACCTTTTCAGCCCCCATTTCACCATCGTGCATCCCATTGCTTGCACAACAGCTTACACAGTGTCATCCATCAGTGATGAAATTCTCGAATTGCATTCTTTCCAGACTTTGAGTTGTTCATGCCCAATTAGGACCCAATTGAGAGAAAAACACAGGTGGCAAACAGAAATGACACAGTTATTTGAAGAATGTGTCTCAGATCTTCAGACCAATGTGTTTGCTAATAAGTTGCCCGGAATTTTATAAACATGCTACTAGTCACAGTGAATCAAAGGCAGTCCTGTCCCCACACTGGAGCAGGTCGCTTAGAGCACGGTACATGACAGGTTTTCTTCAGGAGAGAGGAAGGAACAGATGAGTGTGGACAGTGTGTCTTCCCAAACTCACCAATCAAATAACTTACCTGCAGAAGTAAGTAAGGGGCGGAGAGAGAGCTGGGATTGTTATTTAAGGACGTGCTTCTGAATGGAAACACAAAGAGAAGGAAATAAATCTCTGCTAAGTCCTAATGTGTGACCTAGAAGCAGGTTGGGTAGTGAAAGCTAACAGCAAGAAAAGAAGCTCAGAACCAGCACGCACTAAAATGGTGCATGATGTGTGAAGCAGAACGAGGAAGATGAAGGGATGGGGGCCATAGAGCAAAAGCTTTGCTCAGTGGTCTTTTTCTTTTTCTTTTTCTTCCTGGCCTGTTTGTTCTTTTAAGAAGGGACCTAATATGGTCAGACATGTGTGGAAAATTGATTAGAAGAGATTGAAAGCTGGGGCAGAAAGTCCAGTAAAGAGGTTGTTGTAATAGTCCAGGTACGAAACATTGATGGTGGTAATCTGGGCACTGGCAGTGAGCCTGTTGAGAGGAGCTCAGCTTAGAAGTCAGTGTAGGAGCCACTAGCAGGTTGTGGAATTTGGTAAAATTGTTCAGGGTGAGTGGGAAGGCCTAGTGGAGAAAGGGACAGAAGGGGAAGCTGTAGGAACCTGACATAAATGGGAATGAAACAGCCTAAGACAAGCCGAGAAAGGAGATCAGCCAGAATTGAAAAGAAAGACAGGGTCAAACATGGCCATTTATCATTCGTGATTTCTGAGAGTGGGGCTGGAAGCCAGGTTGAGGGGTTTAAAGGAATGAGAAATAAAGAAAGGAACAGCAAATAAGGGGCACTCTTTTAAGAAGTTTGATAGTGGAGGACGACAGCAAGATGATATGGGAGCTTGAGAGAGACTCAGGGTCCAGAAAAAGTTAGGAGGGATGGGAGAGAGAAGATTAAGGGAAGACAAAGAGTTTAGAAAAGGATGCATGAAGGAAGGTGAAATGAGCAAAGGGGAGAGAAACAATGAAGGAAGGTGAAATGAGCAAAGGAAGAGATTGGGAGCAACCATGGTAAAGAGGATGATGAGAAATGAAGTTCTGATGGCTGCTGGAGTCCAGTGCTATGCTGACATCTTTCATCACTGCCCTTTGCGATCTGATTAGCTAGTTCTCAGTATTAACACATCTTATCATACAAACTTGAGAACTTTTACACTAATGATAATAGAGTTAATCTCTGACCTGCCATGCGTGTGATCCTAGCAGGTATTTACAGGTGAAATCACATCAACAAAGTTGTGGCTGATAACATTCATTGGAATGCATTTAAGTTCTATCTAAAAGTGGTTTCTTTATCTTAGACCTAACAAAGCACAGACGGCTGATAGTAGAAAATCCTCACTGATACTTGTCACCATGAGCACCAGTGGTAAATTTGGACTATTCGAGGAACTAAACAAAGGATGTTTGCTGGATGGGGTGGGAATGGGAGATCCATCCTCTGAAAGTAAGAGTTTCAAAGAAACTACTGAAGTTGATTCAGAATCCGTGGCACAGAGAGATAATCCTCACTTTACAGAGGCGAATTCCTGCCTGCAGCGTCTTTACTTTAAACTCAGAAATAGAGCTGATATTTTAGGAAATGACTATGGGGCCAGGATAAGGTGATAAGCAAGGATAGTCTTCATAAATATCAGAAGTTTGAGGGCTCTGACATACTAAAATCTAGGGGGAAAATTATAGGTATGGAAAGGCGTATGGACAGGAAGTATGTAGCAATGTTGCTTATAATAATGAAAACCTAGAATGTACTTAAAAGGTCACTAATCAGAAACTGTTAAACATATTAAGTAAAAAAGAAAAGAGGAAAAAATAAAATAAACATATTAAGTCACATCCATATAGGGGTTTCCTATGGAGTCATGAAAACTATAAAGTAAAAATAACTAGCATTTGCTGAGTGCTTTGCTATGTGCCAGGCACACTACTTGGTTTGTCTGGATTTTGACAGCAGACTTTTGAAAGTGGTATTTCTATTATTCACACTTTACTGAGACACCAAACACCTGAATAATTTGTCCAAAGACACGCAACTAGTAGCTGGTAGAGTCAAGACTTGAATCCAAACAGTCTTACCCTACTCTCCCTAACGTTCATTGTTGGCACATAAGTATTAATATGGGAAGATGATAAAGTATAAGTGAGGGAAACTTAAGTTATAACTGTGTGACTTAAAATGTGGTTTATATGCATTTATATGTTTGCAAAGAAGAATATCTGGAAGAATGCATGCCAACCAGTTTTTTAGCCATGTTAGCTGAGTACATTTCCTTGACTTGTTATCTTCTTTTGCTTATATGTAATTCCTCTAACCTACATATATAGCTACTATTTTATTTTTAAAAGATTTTTTTTAGAAAAAGTAAAAAAAAATCAGAGTGAAAAAATAAATAAAAAACCAAGCAAACAAAAGTCAGGTCAAAAGAAAGAAAGTAGCAGTGGGGTGCTTTAGAAGCAATGTCATTATGTCATTTCCTGACTCTGGGATCTTCCCTCTGATACTTTCTTTTCTTTTCTTTCTTTCTTTTATTTTTTTTTCCAAACAGAAGAGTTCTACTTTACTTCTTTTTAAACTCGGTCTTTTGGATGAGGAATCAACACCAAACATTTCTTAAGTTGTAATATAAATAAATTTCTTTGCTGTAGGTGACATTGTCTGACATTCAATCAAACCAGAGGTTTTATTGAGCATCTACTCTATAGTCAGCACTGGATTCAGTACTGCAGGAATAGACATGAACAATAACACATCACAGTCCATAATTCAAAAGAGTTTATAAACTAGTTGGCAAAAATATATAATAGAGATGATTTATGACTGTCTGCAATGGGGGAGAGGGGGGGGGGGGGGCAGACCCGGGGATGAAGTGTAGGGCCAGAAGTAACAAAAGACCAGGGTGGGCAAGATCTAGGGGTGGGGTTTGGCCAGTGTGCCTAACGGATGTGAGAAGGGCAGTTCTGATGCTGTGCCAAGATTGAGAGGGTGACTCGAAAGAACAGGAGAGGCCGATGGACTGCGTGAAGTACAGTTGTCCCTTGAATAACATGGGTTCAACTGCGCAGGTCCACTTATACACAGATTCTTTTTTTCAATAAGTACTGTAAATGTATTTTCTCTTCCTTACGATTTTCTTAATAACATTTTCTTTTCTCTACCTTACTTCTCTGAAATAATACAATATATAATGTCTATAATATACAAAATATGTGTTAATCAATTGTTTATATTATGAGTAAGGCTTCATCAGTAGACTATTGGTAGTTAAGTTTTGGGGAACCAAATGTTATACATGGATTCTCGACTAGGGAGAGGGTGGATGCTTCTAATCCTTGCAGTGTTCAAGGATCAACTGTATTTATCTTATTTCAATTCTCTGTTATCAATATTGTAAGATAAATTTCCTCAAAATGAGACCAATTACCCACCCCTGTGATGTGTTATCAGCACAGCTATTGCTCTGGAGGTGCACAGACAGGAAATAAATGAAGCATCATTCTATCCACTGTCTGCCTTAGGTTTTGATTAGGTTTAGGTGAGATAATTTTTGCCTGCTATCGTAAAACTTAGGACATTTGTGTATTTTTAAAATATGTTGTTATTGATTTCAGAGAAGAAAGGAGAGGGAGAGAGAGAGATACAAACATCAATGATGATAGATAATCATTGGTTGGCTGCCTCTTGCAGGCCCTCCCCACTGGGGATCAAGCCCTGACCAGGTATGGAACTGTGACCTCCTAGTTCATAGGTCAATGCTCAACTACTGAGCTACACTGGCTGGGCACATTTGTGTATTTTTAATCTTCCTTTTTTTTTTAAGAAATAACTTTTAAAACTCTACAAATTGACATGCAACTATTACTAAAGAAATTAGAAACAACAGAGAAGTAAATGAAAAGAATAATTTCCCCATCATCTTATCACCAGGAGGTGAAATTGTCCACATTTTATTATAAATCTGACATTTTTCTTTTGTGACTACTATACATTTAAATTGGTTCTTGTCTGATACATTTTCAATTTTTTCCAGGAGCTGTGGGTGATTGGATAAACTACTTTACTTCAAAGCAGAAGAGAGTATTTGATGAACTATTCACAGAGAAAATGAAACACAGCGAACTAGCAAGACACTTTGAAGATTACTCTTAATATAAATGGAAAATGAAACCAATTTCCATTTTACGCAATACAGCACTTGTGGAATACATAAATATGTTTTACCAATGTGGAAAGCAGATATTTCCTTCAATGAGAAACAAACACTTTATGAATGTGTCAAAAATGCCATGTGTGAGAGACTATTATTATATTTTATAGTAGCAGAGAATTATTAATAAAAGAAAGCATATACTTTTTGAATAGCTAAATTATATGTCTGCTTTCAGTATATTTATATGGCAAGGAGATTACTGTTATTCAGAGAGCATATTACTGTGGGTGTCCTATAAACTGCATTAATGTACAACAAAAGAGGTGAGGGATTATCTAAAATAACCAGTGTCTGAAAAGAATCTATTTCTTGGCTGTTTGGACCATCATGACCTCTAGACACACATTTTTATTTCAACACTCCCTGGTGCCCATGTGGAAATATTTTCTAGTGTCAGAGCAATGACAAACACCATCTACTAAAGTGAAAACACCTAATAGGTCAATTATATCAGATGATCACAATCTGGTATTTTGGTGAAATGAAGAATGAAAAGATACACCTTTTGCATTAAATTAACACTGGTGTGGCTTTCCAGTATGTCCCTTATCTTAAATAAAGTCATTCAAATTACAAAATTTCTTATTTTCCAGTTTTGAAAAGTATAATTTTCCTGTAGCTTTAGCCTAGAGGACATTGTAATGGTATTTCAGTGAACTTATTTTAGGATTATTGCCTTAATTGTAATACATTGGTTATGAACCAATGTATGGTTCATATTGTTTACATTTGTGCCATAGTATCTAACTCAAGGCTAATGGGAAATCAAAATGTATACTGTATATGACTCTGAGCTATGAAACCAAAACAATGGGTTGAGTGAGTTAATTCAGCCAAACACCAATGCATTGTGAATCTTATTTTTAGTAACACATCTGTTGGAGGTTTTTGTACCAAGTTTAATCGCAATTCAGCCAATGTTAGATCTTCATGAATCTTCTATATATACATATTTGCTACAAATAAAATGTATTCCTATTGACTTAATGCAATTTGTGTTTTTCTATTTTTTATAAAATTAACATATACAGAGATTTACTAAGACACCTACCTTCCCCAAATACATGAGGTTAGTGAGTGAGGAAGGCAACCAGACGAGATCTTGGTCAAGTCCTCATCTTCATGTTGGAGCTAAAATCACACTTAACCTTCCCTGAGGTTGATGTGCAGAGAATGAGAAAGCAGTCAGTCAGGTGTAGGGGATCTGATGAGATGGCAGGTGAAGACATTGACTGTTGTGCCAAAGGCACCAAATCCCATGAGGCCCTATCACCTTCTCACAAGATTAAAATGACCATTGAGATCAAAAGAACCGAAACAGGACTTTATTTGCTGGCATCTTGTATTTTAGATCTATCTGTAAGGTACCTTTGCGGTCATTGTAATCCAATGTTAATAGGAAATTGCTTAATGTCAACAATCTACAGGTATAACTAAGAGCCTTAGTTTCCAGACTATTATCAGTCAGTCAAAAATATTGTATCTGTATTTATAGCAGCATCACTCACACAATCCAAGTGTCCATCAATAAATTAATGGATAAACAAAATGTGGTATATACCAGTGGTCAGCAAACTCATTAGTCAACAGAGCCAAATATCAACAGTACAACGATTGAAATTTCTTTTGAGAGCCAAATTTTTTAAACTTAAACTATATAGGTAGGTACATT